GATGCCCAAACGATTGTCTTTCATGTGCGTTGTGTCTGCAAAACACTCTATACTATTGTCAACACCTACAATAGGTTCGTACTCACACTCGATTCCTACTCAGTGAATACCATGCAACTCATTTCTCGTGTTATTGGACCAGAAAAAGTTATTTCACTTATTTTCACCAATGGCTCTTGGCTTAATGATGAAACGAAATTATTTTTTTCATTATTCACTAGAGTAAGATTTACTCGACTTCGTTCGTTAATTGTCAGGCAAATACGAGATGACGGTTTGGAACGGCTTTTGTTAAGTTTGAATGCCGATTCTTTGGTCTCACTTTCGATTCAATCAAGTAATGATGAGTATGATCAAACATGGATTATTATCGCATATGCACTCGCTCGATTGAATCTTCAAAAATTATGCTTGAGCAACGTGAACTACATGACGAAGCATATCTCATGGTCAGACCAAGGCGGATTAGAGTATTTAGTTATTGCTGATTGTGCCTATAGCAAGTATCTTCTTATTCTACATAATTTGCCAAATTTACGAACGCTGGTCATGAAAAATTGTGTTATGAATGAAACGATAGTGCCTTATATGTCATCTACGTCCATGTTTCAACTTACATTGAAATCTTTAACTATAACAGAATGTTCACTTACTCCTCAGCATTTAGAATTAATACTTTCGCCAATATCTTCACTTCGCCATCTAAAGCTGATTTCTCATAGAAAACAGTACGATTTTGTCTTTAATGGTGCCTATTGGAAACAACTTCTTTGTGCTAAACTACCCCACCTAGATAGATTTGAATTCTACTTCTCTTATTACTATCACACAAACAACGACTTCATCAATCTCGAGTCACTGATTGATCAATTTCGAACGCCATTCTGGCTTAGCGAGAAACACTGGTTTGTTCTCTGCGAGTATGATCTAAAATGGCGTACGATGTGCTTGTATACAATACCCATCATCATTAATCATGGTCGAGGTCTATTCAGATGTGAGATCTCATCGATAGACAACACTTGTCGTCTGATCCAACGACCGCTAAATGAAATGGATGGCAACAATTCAGATGAGGTATGTAATAAAATCCATCAACGGAAGAATTAAATTTGTTTCATTTCTTTGAAACAAATATTGTTTTCTTTGAATATCATGAGGATATTGTCACAAGCAGATTTGAATGATTTATGAACAACTTTCCATTAATTTTGAACTAGAAATTCAGTTAACAAGCATGCAAGTTCTAAATAGAAACGTATCGCCAGGAAATATTCAGAAATCTGACATAAAAAGCTTTATGTATCCCGATTAATTTTCATGATTATCTAATAACTCTTCCCCAGACTCATAAGTTGCAGCAACCTTTGTCGGTGCTTTTCAGTATGTCTGTATCTTGAGGTGAGTGTGGAATTCAGTGTTTGGTAGAATAGTCCTCTTCTGCCAAATATATTCTAAAAGAGATACGCAATTTTAGACAACTGTTTATAATTCCAGATAATCATATAAATCTTGGAGATACTATACAATTTGTAGCGATTCCTAAAAAAAAAATTTAAAAAACAATGTTCGAGATGTTGATACACAATATCTTCCTTATACATTGTCAAACAGCGGCCTGATACCCATACTATTTTTATTTTCTCTACACATAGACACTCACCATATTGAACCTTGCTGATAATCACATCGGAGATGTTGGGGCACAACATGTTGCTGCTTGCTTAAGAAATAACAGGGTAATTCTTATCCCATTTCCATCCTTCTCGCATTCATCTTCTTCTCTACATGTAGATACTAACCTCACTAGATATGAGCAATAATCACATCGGCCCTGCTGGTGCCCAACATCTGACTGATGCCTTACGAAATAACAAGGTGATTCGCATGCTATTTTTATCTCTTTCATATTCATCTTTTTTTCTACACATAGACACTAACCACATTGAACCTTAAGAACAATCATATCGGAACTGCTGGGGCACAATCTCTCGCTGATGGCTTAAGCAATAACATAGCGAATTTCATCCTGTTTTCATATTTCTCATATTCATTTTCTTCTCTATTCATAGACACTAACCTTACTGGATCTTGACCACAATGAGATCGGCCCTGATGGGGCCCAACATTTGGCTGATGCCTTACGGCATAACAAGGTGATTGTCATCCTATTTGTATCTCTCTCATATTCATCTTTTTCTTTATCCATAGACACTCGAGACCTTGAGGATTCGTTATAATATCACTTCTTCAACTGTTTATCAAGAATTGACAGTACGGGACAAGCGAATCAATTAATTTATTTTTAATTAGACTTTTTTGATTCCTAATAAAACGATTTTATACTGAATGCTCATTGGATTAGTATTGTCGGGTGAGAATGTGCATATCTGGCTTCATTCTACTCACACCCACCCTCAAGTTGGTTTTGAAACCTTGATATCTCGGAGACACTTTGTTAAAACTTGTCAAATATCTTATGCAAGCTAGTCTAGTTGAGACCTTTATGTGAGCAAAGTTTTAAGGCAGAATTTGAAAGTATAGTTTTGATGTAAAAGTGGAGACCTATAGTGAAAATTCACTAAAAACTTAATATATCATCAGGAATACGCCATGAGGATGAACTTTTCTATCGTTTTCCTAGCCGCACTGAGTCCTGTTTGTAGTTAAGATATAGGCTCGAATGGCATGCGATAGATGAGTATGCTCCCTCGTTAGCTTCGAGTCTCTTTGTACATTCCGGTTTCTAATAGGGTGTGGGTATGAAATGACTAAAATACTCATACTATTGTCTCTCATTGACTAATCATTCACTAACTATCTATTTGATTGAAACTATAACTATTTCGGTATACAAAAAGACGTTATCCATGTTTCTTGATCGATCATTTATGTGATTTCATGAATATTTTTTTAAGGATGTGAGTGTCGATGTAAATACAACATGAACTGTATATCCATAATTATACCCACACCCGCACCCACATTGATGGTGTGAAAATAACGAAAACAATGTGATATATTTGAATTTTTTGAAATACTTAAAAATATGCAGTTTCTTTCATGAAAAGTTTTTAAATAACCGTTTAAATGAATTGTTTTTGATTTTTGAGTTCCTTGGAAGGCGATAAGAAGCCAAACCACTCTGATCAGCAAAAATATTAGCTAAATCATTACAAAGTGTGCAACTCGGCATACCAAACGCTATTGGACTAGAGTTGCCATAAACAATAATCCTCTGCCCAACAATAGTAACACCAGAAGCGGTACGAAAGAAATGCAAACCAATAATAGGGCACCATTCAGCGATTTTTGTACACACGTACGCCTCCATAATCTTTTCTATAGGTATGTTACGTACCCGCCATTCCTGCCGCTTCCAGTAATACAGTAATTTTGAAACTGTATTCGAATCTATGTTAGACAACGAGAACGCAGAAACCAAGATTTTTTCCAATGCTTCGTAAGCATCGTAATCAGCGATATATAATAATCCGTGAATAACGCTACTTATTGCTGCTTTTCCACCGATTCGACCAAGGGCTTCACACGCGTACTTTTTAGAATTCTTAACTTTCAATGCATCCACCAATAACGCAATCATGTAGTACGTTGCTTCTTTTTCACTGACGCGAGCAAGGGCTCCATATGCCTTCTGTCTCACCTCCTCATCCGCATCCCCTAGTGTTTTCACCAGCGCTGCAATCACGTTGTTCGTTGCTGCTTTTTCACTCATCTCAGCTAGTGTTTTGCATGCTTCCTGTCTCATATAAAGATTCGTATCCTCCAGTGCGGTAACCACCGCCGCGATCACATCTGTCTTTGCTGCGTTTTCACCCATCTGACCGAGAACTTTCCAGGCCTTACTCCTAACATTATTATCGGAATCCTTCAGTGCGATAATCAGCGCTGCGATTACGTCGTTTGTTTCTGCTTCTTCACCCATATGACCGAGAGCTTCACACGCCTTGCTTCTGACAATATTATCGGCATTTCCCAGTGCGATCGTCAGCGCTGCAATCACATCGTTTGTTGCTGCATTTTCACCCATTTGACCAAGAGCTTCACATGCTGAACCTTTGACAAAATCATCCGCATCCCACAGTCTGGCTACCAGCGCTGCGATCACCTCTTTCGTCGCTGCTTTAGTACCCATCTCACCCAGAGCTACGCATGCGCTCTGTCTGGTCAAACGATCAAGAGATTCCAGTGCGGTAACCAACGCTATGATCACGACTTGCATTGCTGCTTTCTTACCCATTTGACTGAGAACTTTACATACCTCCAATTTAACAGAATCATCTCTATCGCCCAGTTTGGACACCAGCGATGCAATCACCTCCTGCGTCGCTGCGTTTTCGCCCATCTGACCGAGAGCTACACATGCTCTCCTTCTGACACTACTATGTGTATCTTCCAGTGCGGTGGTCAGCGCTACAATCACGCTGTTCATTGCTGCTTTTTCACCCATACGACCGAGTACTTTGCATGCTTCTTGTCTCACATAACTATCGACGTCCCACAGTGCGGCCACTATCGTTACGATCACATCGTTCCTTGCTGCTTTCTCACCCATATGACCAAGAACTATATATGCGTTACTTCTGACAATCTCATGCGTATCCCCCAGTGCGGTCAACAGCACTGGGATCACATCATGTGGTGCAGCTTTTTGACATAGATGGCAGAGAGCTTCAAGTGCATAGTAACCGACGCTTTGATATCGCTCACATGATGATTTCATGAGTGCTGTGATCACGTCGTTCTTTCCTGCTTTTTCGCCCATATAATCGAGAGCCTGACATGCTTTCTGTCTGACAACAGGATTCGTATCCTCCAGCGCGGT